AGTAAAAAGAATAGTTAAGAACCTGGTGACTTCTATTAGCACTAATCAGTAATGATGGGAGAGCAGTAGTTTTAGATTACAGGAGCTGCATTAATAATTTGTGAAGTTTCCAAGTGTAAGCGCAATAGAGCTCCATTGGCAGCATTTTCAAATCTCATTCCATGGTGGCGTTCAATTAAACATCTGCTATGCATGGCATTGAGAATATTTTGAATGAGATTTGTAGCTAGGCCAGACAGTGCAGTTCACCCTATTCTGAGCACTATCAAAGCTCCTTTGTTTTGCAAGCAAATGTGCTTATGGATATTATTCTTGTTCTTCTAGGGATTTGTTATTATACGTTTTATACTGTGATTGTTCTTATTTATTGTTTTTGAGTTCACCTGTTGTTTGTGCTGTTGGCATTGAATGTTTGCCTCTTTTATTGGAAACTGCCCTAAGTCCCCCAGGGTAGATAGGGTAGGTTACAAATGAAATAATAATAATAATAATAATAATAATAATAATAATAATAATAATTTTAATAATAATAATAACAACAACAACAACAACTTTAAAACAGTGACACTTTCTTCTGGCTTCCTACACAGGAGTGGTCGTCATAGGAATTGCCCTATATGTCGTCTGCAAGTGACTGCAGCAAATGAGTCTTGGGTTGTGTCTGATGCTCCCACAGAAGAAGATATTGCTACTTACATACTTAACATGGTGGATGAGGCAGGCCAGCCTCACAGACCCTGACACAACAATGTTTGTATTCTTGAATCTTTCAAGATTTAATTTTTTATTGTTCCTCTTGTTTTTGTTTACTCCATACATTGGTTTCTATAAGCTATGTGAAGAGTCTTTATAATTGGCCACTCGTTGTGAACCAGTCCCAAGCTCAAATTTTTCCAGATTGTTTCATTAATTTCTCTGTTGGTAACATAGAGGGTATATCAAGATTTTTCTAACACTGTAAGATGCCTTGGCAGAGCAAACATTTAATTTTTAGTTAGCTGTTTATGATAGCTTGTTAAAATGGCACTTCTTAACTGAAACTGTAAGAGAAAATGAGTGGTTACAGATAGTCTGCTGCCAAGAACTGCACTTAGAAGTTACCCTTCTTTATGCAAGACTGCACATGTTTGCTTGTATGAATAGGAATGGCAACATCCCACATTTAAGGTTTGGTAATTTTATTGTTACCTTATGATAAATTATATTCACTTCCAATATTTATATGTGTTTGCTTAAATCACTATTACTCCAGCATGTTGGGTGCATCCAAAATGTTGTGGTAGCACACTTCTGTTATGAATAATTGGCTTTTGCACTTTTCTTCAGATGGAAAATAGGGTAGGCAGTTTCAAGTAACTTCACTCCTTCATACTGAATAAGGTCAAAGGTTTAGATCCAGGAAAACCCCTCCACGGCCAGAAGGGCTCTTAGTCAGTGGTTGGCTTTTGAGTGGATGGAGCTTTTCCTCTGGTCAGGAGCAGAGTCTCCTCCCCAGAGTCACGGGAGGTGGGAGGACAGCTAGAAAGTGTAGAAAGGGGAAAATAGGCAAGAATTTCCTCCCATTCCATCAGATATGTTCTGGAAGTCAACTCAGGGATGTCCCCATAAATAACTTGTGGAATAAAGCTCTGGATCAAACCCTTCATATTTTGCTTTTGCTAGGAAATGTGCCCATAAATAACCAAATGTTGTTTACACATCAATATACTATTATATTTAATTTTTGACTGCTTTATCAGATAGTTTCCGTTTTTAAGAAACATCACTAATATAAAAAAGAAAAAGATTGTGACTTAAAGCAAATACATGGTGCTTGATTCCTTTTTACAAGTGCAATATGATTTACTATAACAAAAAGTATGATTGCAATAGTTTCGCTTTTAATGTCTTACAAATCTAATGCAAAAACCAATACTGCTTTTTCTCAAAAATGTTGGCGCCAGGTTTGAGGGACTGTGGGCAAAGTGCCCTCTAGCAGCTCGTCACTGTGCTGATAGATGGTCCAAGCCACCTTTCCTATTTCTCTCAACACAGCAAGTCAACACATCATTTGAAATCGGAAATGGATCGGTTACCTGTTGTAGATCACAATGGTGATGCTAGACCTGGTTGATATAATATCTTTTTCACAACTACACAGTAACATTAAAGAAAGGTGGTTTGCTCTTCTTTTGAAATGGTGTATACATGAAGCAGTTACTGACACATTCAAGATAGCTGGTTGTTCGTGTATTATAAAACTGCCATTTGTCATTTTCACTGTATCTTTGTAACTACATGTAGCATTATAAAGTTATAACTTTGGCAAAGCCTTGTTGTAAAATATGTCCTGACACTGAACCGATGAGCTTCAGAATATGACTAATGCAGCTTGTCAGAATCAGTCTAAGAAAGATAAATATGGGATACATTATTTTGTCCTTTCCCTTATAATGTGACTCTCCCAAGAGAAGATTTAGACAGCAATTCTTTATTACTAGTTTCAGGAGACAACTTTCACTTGTAACATTCAGTGCCAGGGTACCATCCTGCAATAATTCATTTGGGAGCACTTGTTGCTTCAAATTGTTGGGAGTGGATTTTGAAGCTCATCAACATGAATATGAAGAGGTTTAGTTGTGTTGGATTTGGCAGATTTGTGGTAGAAGTGCCTCATGTTTTAACAACCAACTTTTTAAAAACAATAAGCTCTATTATTCATCTCAAAGGATTATCTTGGCCTAATTCCATATTTTCTTATCGCAGCATTATATTTAGTCCTGAAACCTGTTTTTCATGGCAAATTTTAGAAAAAATAGGTTACTGCCCAAAAATCCTGAATGCCAGCTCTTGAAAGAAATAAGTTGGTTTAAAAAAAAAAGTTGTATTGATCGTAAATTAAAAATAAAGGAGCACTTGCAAATGTGGCATCAGTTTCATCCAAGATTGTAAATATATGTAAAGTGAGTATGTAAAACTTTGTAGTGTGTACAGCTTTTTAAATTAATAAATGCACACTTTGTTGTGAGTAATAAAATATGTACTTTGTGAAAGAAGAGTAGGAGTTCAGTAGCCCTCTAACCAGCATAAAGAATAGTAAGGAATGCTGGGATATCTGAATGGCTACATTATTCCCACCCTTGACATAAGAATAGGTAAAATGTAGGTCAGCCCTGCCATCACTTATCAGCACATGCTTATCTAGTGCTAAATTCCTCTGTGTCACTATACTTCTGATGGAGAAGTGTTCCTCTATTTTGTAGTAATAGAAGTACTGAAGTATTGCAAACCTCTGTGGCTTCAAAGACAATTGAGAGCTCCTGCGGTTCGGGGACAAGATATAGCCTATCACTGGCTGCTTGTCCATTGGCTTATTTTTTGTTGTTGAAACACCCAAACAAGCAGCTCATGTACTTAGCACAGTGCTTCCACAGAAAACAGAAGCCCATGGGTGATATAGATCAGAGTAAGGCATTATTTGAAATGGTGTGTGGTGAAGAAGGCCACACAGCTTGAGTAGACAGAGACACCATTTACAGTTGTCATCTACCAATGATCATTTTACTGCGACCTATACTGGCATATTTACACCAGCTACTAGGATTAACTCTAAAATTGAATGACTGCTCATTGGAGGATGAAATAATTTGATCATGATAACCATCATGGGCATTAAGAGTTAAATTCCTAGAAAAGTAAGTAGAAGAAAATGCATTCTGTGTTCTTTAGTAGGAATGTGAATAATTCTTAATGTTTTGATAAAAAGACTGTTAATAGATATAAAGCTTCTATTGTATTGTTATGAATATTGTGCAATAAAAACTTGAACTTCATCTTTGTGTGAAGTTTAATGGGGTCTAGGTCTACAGAGGAGTCCAGATCTGTCTTTGGATACTTACTATATTATACCCTGTAGCTATGGCTAATTATACATTCCTATATTATCTCCCTTATAGAAAAAAATGGCAGATTCTATGCTTTGTCCTCTTTCCTTTTGGCAAGAATTTTATTATGGCAAATACTCATTGATTTTACATTTCTAATTCTGTCACATTTTCTGAAAGCATAAAGCCTCCAATAGTGCCTTTTACCCGGATGGACAATGCAGAAAGTTAGTTATGGTGTAAATATGACCATGGTCTTCCTCCACTCTAAGTAAGGATTAGTTGAACAGCTCGGATGGTGGGATCAGAGCATTTAGTATACAGGACTTGTCTTTATAACAGACAGGTTTAGAAGGCAATAGCAGCTGTCTCGTCTGCAGAAACACCATACAAAAAAAGGGAACTCTTAGAAAGACACCTGCATGGTGAAGGAATGACAAATTTTACTATCTTTCCTTGATGAAAACATAACTCTTGGTTGGATGGGACCTCTGTTTCAGCCCAGACCTTCCTTGTATTGCTTTCAGGGAAAGAGATAACAGCTGAGATGCTGGACAGACTCCCATCAGTAGGGTTACCTCTAAAATGGAGGATATAAGGGCTTCTGTCTAAGGAAGAAAAAGCTGGCTCTACAGCTGTGTGCTCTGGAGGAAGGGGATCACAACAGTGATCTGGAGAGGCTCCACAATTACTATGGAAAAAGGAAATGGAACAGTTCATTGTTCTTCAGATGTTGCCCAATCAGTGAATGAAATGAAAGCAGCCCATGCAGTTGTTCTTGCATGGGCCCATACCTCAACTGTATGGGAGGGACCAGGCTTGAAGCTTGAGGAGATATTACTCTTTTAGTTCTGTTCACTCTCAGTCTCTCTGCGGTGGGGGATGCATTTGAAATTCAAATTCAAATTGAATTTTGAAAGGACAGAGTCAAAATTATTTTGGCATACAGAGGCCTAAACATGACCCATTGGCTATTTTGAGAACAATGCTAGCCTAAATTGGCTTTTTGTTCAAACCAATAAGGCACCAGTTGGTAAGTTGCCACCTCTCCTTCTAAAGTGATTCTAACATGACACGTTTGAAATTTGCCCCCCTTTTAATTGTAGTTACTGGCATGTGAGAAAAACAAAGATAGCATTTTTAATGTATTTCATGTAACTTTAATATATTTCTGTATGATACACATCTCCAAATTCTTACACAGCATAATACATCAGTTTTCAACACAAGCTATTTTTTTCATTATTGAAAGCGAAGGTAATCTTTAAACTGCCTGTTAATCCAGTGAACTAAAAAGTCTGAAGTGTCAATTGTTTATAGCTTCACATTCCAGCACACAAATGCTGCAGACAGAACCAATGCCTAAAACTGTCATATGGAATAAACACTTATTAAAATGGGGGGGGGGGGGGGGTAACCTAGAACACTGAACAGCCTAGACTGTTCAGAGCTAACTAAAATAAAAAGATGTGTCTCTTCAAGAAAATACTTGGCCTTCAGTGATTGTCCAAGGGATGGGCATCCCTTTGTTATACAACATTCATTACAAAAAAATTCTGCAATTTGTTCTAGCAGTGCAGTCTAAATCAAGTTTACTCAGGCACAAGTATACTTAAGATGGCTGCCCAAATTTCCCAGTATACAATCCCAAGTTTTATCTAAAAATAGGACTGAGGAATGAAAACCGGACTCAGAAATGTGAGAAAGAGTCCTTTCTCTGTGCCAAACATACCCTTTACTATTAAAGATTGTGAGAATGAAAAAACTGTGTGCTAACAGCATTAAGCATTTGAATTGCCACTTTCAAGGAGCCAAGCCAATCCCTTCCAATACTTAATGACGACCTTCTAGTGCCATCTTCTTGTCTAACACAACTAATCCTAAATAGATCCTGCTGCTGAATATACATGTATGGGATAGCCTTGTACATCTCAGGTTTCTTGGTAAAAAGGGAAGTACAGTACTTAGTCAGGATGCCATACAGAGCATTACAGGTACACCAGCTCATTCTAAAGAGAATCAAAATCAAAAACATTTGGTTACAAATTATCTTGGGAGAACTAAGATTTATTTTTATGGTTTCTAACAAATTTGTGCAAACAGAAAAGTAGAAGAAAGGAAATGAAAGGAATACATTGTTTTTGTGCACCCAGCCTCATGGAAGACAGAATGGTTAGAATCCATCAAGGTACATTCGATCATAGAACTGCTTTGACTAGAAGGCAACGACGTTCTTTCCCCCATTGCAACCTGTCAATGTACCTCATGAATGTGCTCAGGAGTGCTAGAAAACCCTACAGAGCCCATTTTTAAGTGGCACCAAGGACTGTAGAAGGAAGGGAAAGAAATCCCTTAAGTCCATCACAGTGGTGCAAGCAGCTCATACTGTATAACACTGAACTTAACCCAATGAAGCCACCCTAAACCCATTTAGGTAATACTGTGCAAGGAAAGTATAAAAGGTTGCATCTCGTATACAATTCAATAAATGAAGCTATATCAGTATAAAATACCTCAAATGAGCAAGGGGAGATTCAAGAGTTGAGATGGATTTTTTAGTGCTTGCTTTCTTTTAATTACATAACTAATGTTTCTCCATACCATACAGCAAATCCATTTCAATTAAGAGTTGAGAGAAATCATTTTAATTGTTTTTATAATATGATTAAACTAGCTTTAATAGTTTAAATTGAAGAGGCAAAACAAGAATCCTAGGGCCCTTCCACACAACTCTATATCCCGGAATATCAAGGCAGATAACTCCACAATATCTGCTTTGAACTGGGTTATCAGAGTCCACAGTCAGATAATGTGGGATTTTTCCTTGATATTCTGGGATAGAGGGCTGTGTGGAAGGACCCTTAGAATTACTATTCTGAATATGATAGATGAAGAATAGTAGAAACAGAAGCTTAGTGAAAAGAAGTCGCCTTTTGCCACTGGATCGAGCAAGATTAAAAAATTATTGATTTAAGAATAATATATAGTTTAGAAGAATTACTTCTAGACAGTTGTGCTTACAGCTAGTATTTTTCCTCATGCACATTCAATCTTGATTAAAAAAAATATGGAATTCCTACGCAACAGACACTGGTCTAAATCCAACTAGATTAGATTAACTGAATGAACTGGAGCCTGGAAAATCAACTCTTGCATATGTATCATTTATTTAACAGGTGTATTCTAACAGACTAAGAAACAAATTTAGAACCATCAAAACTGACAGTAATCTAATAAACCAAGAAAGAAACGAACTTACTTTATGACTCATTTTTTCTGCTACACCCTAAGAAATGACTGGCCCTTCAAACCTGTAAACTGTCTTTGCAGAGACTCAGTGGATACAGCTCCTGATTCTTCAAACTGAATTATAGTTGGCCTTTCACTTTTGCAGGGGTTAGGGATCCAGGATCCTGTGAAAGTGAAAATCTAAAAATATCTCCAAATCATATTTAACACACAAACCTGTACTGGCAGGATGTCTGGGTCTGGCTCTTCATGTGTTGGGTGGGAAGAGAATGGGGCAGGAAAAGTGGAAGAAGGGAGAATGGTTGGTATGAATATCTGTGAGGCACAAGGCAAGGATGCTGTCCTTGCCCTCCCACCTTAGGGATCCCAGCTCCCTCTTCACACTACCCACTCTCTCTCTTCACGCCCCCCCCATCCCCTTCCCAGCAGGCCATGTAGATGAGTGAGTGATTGTTGTTGTTGTTTATTGTTCGGTCGCTTCTGACTCTTCATGACCTCATGGACCAGCCCACGCCAGAGCTCCCTGTTGGCCATCGCCACCCCCAGCTCCTTCAGAGTCAAGCCAGTCACTTCAAGGATACCATTCATCCATCTTGCCCTTGGTCGGCCCCTCTTCCTTTTTCCTTCCATTTTCCCAAGCATCATTGTTTTCTCTAAGCTTTCCTGTCTGCTCATTATGTGGCCAAAGTACTTCATCTTTGCCCCTAATATCCTTCTCTCCAATGAGCATTTGGGCTTTATTTCCTGAAGTATGGACTGGTTGGATCTTCTTGCCGTTCAAGGCACTCTCAGAATTTTTCTGCAACACCAGAGTTCAAAAATGTCTATCTTCCTTCACTCAGCCTTCCTTATGGTCCAGCTCTCACATCCATAGGTTACTACGGGGAATACCATTGCTTTGACTATGCAGATCTTCGCTGCCAGTGTGATGTCTCTACTCTTCACTATTCTATCGAGATTGGTCATTGCTCTCCTCCCAAGAAGAAGAGTGAGTGATGAAACGTGTGAATCTTCCCTTCTCCTTTTTTAATGCCTGCATGAGTGAATGAATGAACAGGTATGTGGCTGTGCTCAGCAATCCTGCCAGTTTGATTTTCTCCCAACAACCAACGTTTTCACTATTGATTAAGCCTGATGTAACTTAATACATTTCAAAATGGACTCTGGATAAAATTTCTCATTAAAAATTGTGTGGGTCACCATGGAGGTGGCACTAAACAATCCACCAATAATCACATCTGTGAAAGTTAAACCTGAAAATGTGGAAGGACAACTGTAATCAAAAACTGCTCTCAACAGAACAAAAGAACTGTATTTGTCACTTGGGTCAAAACCATCTAATGAAAATTCCTTGCATTCATAAAATCAAATTATATTAACAATCATGGTAACACTCAATTATACATATCACTGTGCAAAATATTTTCCAGAGCATATTCACACAACTACATAATTAAGCAGTTAGATCAGAAGCAATTAAAAAACTGACAACTCTTAACCTGAATGCTATTAGTCCCAAATGGAGTAGAAACATTGAATCAATGGGTTTTTCCTGTGTGCTGATTCGCCATTCAACTGTTCATTCAATGGACTACTTTGTTTGGGACTATCCAACAGGATTCAGGGGCCTAAATACCCCAAAGGCACTGGATCCTGTGCTATCTTGGAGTTAAGCAGGGATAGTCCTGGATAGTACTTGGATGGGAGACCACAAAGTGCTACAGGCTATATTTCAAATGGAAGCAAAATCACCTCTGAGTATTCCTTATTTTAGGAAATTTTAAGAAAAATTCATGGGGTCACCAGGCAATTTGAAGGCACATACATATATAACAGGATTCAAGCCTCTGTAGCTTTCGTACAGTTATAAAGGCCTGCTCATGGCAAGAAAAACCAATTTAGTTTTTATCCACCTCATCAAATCACCAACTCTGAGTTGGTACCATTATCTTTAATTTTATAATATATTTTTCAAGTGCTATGTAAGTGGTTTTTAAATCAACACAGAGCACAATGATGTACAGATGCACACAAGATGCACACAAGAGTATACACTACTTTTTGTGTCATACATTTTTTGGGGGGAAACTCATAATTGTATTACATTGGTGTACTTATATTCTTCTTTCCCAACAAAACTGAGAGTCATTCAAGAGTGTAAACATCTTGGTTACAGGAACAGACGTGTTTCATATGAACAATCAGACATGCCAACATGAGATATGATTAAAGATTATTCTCACGTTTTAATCTTGTGAAGAATGGAAATTCAGAGCATCATACCACGATACTCATTGAGACAGAACACAAAATATATAATTTAGTTCAGTGGACAAAATTCAAATAGAATAGTTGATTTTTAAACTCCTCTGATCATGAATTCTGGTTGTCGTGGTTTTATGCCATAAAGAAACTACCAGGTAAAATGTTTTTTTATTATTCAACCAAAGCGAAGATAAAGCAAACAACGTTTCTAATTCACTTACATGCCTGTTTATGTAATTGTTAGGGATCATAGAGAGCCAACGTGATACAATGGCTAGTTTTGGAACCGAGCTCCAGGAATTAGCTGCGGCCAGGTTAACTTCGACTTATGGCAACATTATAAACAAGGATCCCTGGTCAGCAACTATTCCACTCACATATTGCAAACTCAGGACCACGGCTTCCTTGACTGAGCCAATCCACTTGTAATGCAGTATTCCTCTTTTCTGACTGCTTTCTACTTAGCTGTGCAGTGAGTCAAGTAATCTTATAATATGTTCAAAGACTCCAGAATTTAAATCCCCGCTCAGCTTTGGAAATCCACTGGGTGACTTTCTCTGCCTCAGAGGAAGGCAATGTGAAACCATCTCCGAGCAAATCTGGCCAAAGAAAACTTCACAGTAGGTTCATCTTACGGTCACTGTAAATTAGAAACAACTTGAATGCACACAACAATGGTATGAGTCATACAATCCTTCTGCAGAAGCACCTCTTTAACTGTGATATGTCTTGACCTTTAATTATTGTTGATTAATAAATGGCCAATCAAAACGAAATAGGAATATCACACCAATGTACATGGTGGTTTGACTGACCAGGAAAAAAGTTGTGTTTTGGAATATGCTTGTGACAAATATCCTTGAGGCTGTTTTGGCTAGTGAGGTTATAAAATTAGATCTGCCATTTTTGTGCCTGCTTGAAATTTCAACAAAAACCAGTTCAATCTACAAATCTGTAAACAAATAAATGCTACAAAAATATCACAGTTCTTCAGTAATCACAAAGAAACATCTCCTGAAACTTCACAGCACCCAGGAGAAGTATGTGGAAAAAATATGCTCATTTTCAAGGCTGCACATTGAAAATGCAACTAGCATATAGATTCTAAGGCTTGTCACCATGGCAGTGATGTGATTATCCCAAGGTCGAACCCAGCGCAACACCGCAAAACTTAACTGTGGATCAACACAATCTTATAATGATAGCAAGCATTCACAAAAAAGTTACAAAAGGTTCCACAAAGCTATAAAATGAATTATCATGACATTATGATGAAACGGGAGGGGAAAATCAAAACACAGTCCATGTATACTGCTGAATAAATTTTCCTATAATGTGCAACCAGGAAAAAACCCATGCAGCTCTTTGGTCATATTCCTTTACTTTCCAAAATGAATTGTCATTTTTGCTAAATATCCTCCACCATGGAATGGGGGCACTACAGTACAGTCTACAGTCACTGATCTGGAATCTAACTAGAGATTACAGTTTAAAGTGCCTTAGATCTTTGCCTGCCACTATGCGCGGCAAAAGAGGTACATGTAAGCTACCAAATGCTGTTGTCCCCAACACCATTAATTTCAAAGCATGTTACATATCCTAAATGAAAACTCTATAAATATTCAATACTAGATTCAGAGTGCACTTCAAAATGCAAAAGCAGCACAAAGAATACAGTTGTGAGCTTGCATCTATATATATCTATATATACACAGGAGTGCTACCTAAGCCAAGCGCTGGCAGAAACTGGCTTTCCTGCAAGTCTGATGAATCAATCTTTCTGTACACCAGACAGCTTTCACTGTTGCAAAAACTCAAATTCTCTCATGTGTTCATATGCTTCTGTCCTGGCAGTTGTGCAAAATTAATTGGTTTTGTAGCTGTGACTACTTTGAGAGTGCAGTGATCTCTTCTGTTTTCATCGCATCGGACAGGAAACTCAGCTCGTTACATAAGGTCTCGTATCTGTAAGCCATTCGAATCTGTGCAACATTTGTCTTCCGAATGTCATTTCCTTCAGGCCCCTCACTGCAATAATTTACTCCTAAACATTTCTGTTTCTCCTAGGGACAAAACAACAGTTAAATACAATGTCAGACCATACAATGTCAGGAATTGCTTTGATTTCAATGGCCAGGGAAAAAACAGTAGCACCTGGGGAAAAAGAAAGAGCCATCTCCCATAGTTCTTGCCCGAAGAAGGAAAATAACAGAAGTAGTGGGGAGGCCATTGAGGGAATAGCAACATAAGATAAGCATTTTTTTTTATTACAGAAAATGAGAAAATTGTCTCAGGGGAAAGAGGGTATAGGTGTCAGTAGCACAGCCCGGGGGGGGGGGGGGGGGGAGCAACAGACTCTGAACAATTTTACTTACTCCCCAAAAAACCTATCTACCAGAAGAATATTAATATATCACTTTTAATGCTGCATTTTGTGGGGCTGTTAGTCAAAATCCTATGTGGTCCTTACATATGTGAGAGCACTGAAGTTACAATGCTATCAGTAACTCTGAGTAAACTCTTCTCAATTCTCACTTCTGAATTCTGGTTATTGATGATACTTTGTTTCCCCAAAAATAAGACACTGTCTTATATTTATTTTGCCTCAAGAAGACACTATAGTTTATTTTCAGGTGATGTCTTATTTTTATTAAATATGGTACAACAATCTGCATTCATGGGATTATCTCTCTGGGCTCAGTAGCAGGCTGCTTGCTAAAGTTTTTCCCCTATCCCTGGTGTTTGCGTGGGATGAGAGAGACCCACAGACTGTTGCTGGTCAGTGCTGGGGAGCAGGAGCTTTACTGGTGTCTTCCTGGTGCGTGAGAGAGACCTACAGACTTTGATGGTGGCTGCTGGGGGAGAGAGACCCACAGTGGTAAGTGAATCAGCAGCCACAGCTTTACTTCTTCCCTCTGAGGAAACACAATTCCTAAAGCAGAGCATCCTGCTCCTTACTTCACCGAGGAGACTTTTACTTTCACATTCTATGTCTTTTTCCATGCCTCATCTTGCAGCATGCACAGAACGACCGACCGGGACCTGGCAAGGGGAGCCGGCCATGTATGCTGCACAGCCACACCTATCACTATGTATTATTTTCAGGGTATGGCTTATATTGCGCAAATGCTTAGGAATCCTGCTCCGGAATATTTTATGGGTATGTCTTATTGTAGGAGACACGGGTTAGCTCATATTGACATTGTAACTAAGAAGGCACCCCTCTTATAGGCCCGCATCTGGACTTTAAATCCTTAATTTTAGAGGACCCCCACAACCCCTGGTTCAAAAGTAGCCTTCTTCTGTCTTACTAAATTTCTCCCAGAGACCTTGGCACTCTCTTGGTTGTGAGATGCCTTGAGAGCCATCTCCTTCCCTCGTAACTGTTATTTTCCTGGGAAGGAAGCAAACTTTACTTGTTGTTGTTCATTCGTTTAGTCGTCTCCGACTCTTCGTGACCTCATGGACCAGCCCACGCCAGAGCTCCCTGTCGGCCGTTACCACCCCCAGCTCCCTCAAGGTCAGTCCAGTCACTTCAAGGATGCCATCCATCCATCTTGCCCTTGGTCGGCCCCTCTTCCTTTTGCCTTCCACTTTCCCCAGCATCATTGTCTTCTCCAGGCTTTTCTGTCTCCTCATGATGTGGCCAAAGTACTTCAACTTTGTCTCTAGTATCTTTCCCTCCAGTGAGCAGTCGGGCTTTATTTCCTGGAGGATGGACTGGTTGGATCTTCTCGCAGTCCAAGGCACTCTCAGAACTTTCCTCCAACACCACAGCTCAAAAGCATCTCTCTTCCTTCGCTCAGCCTTCCCTAAGGTCCAGCTCTCACATCCGTAGGTTACTACAGGGAATACCATGGCTTTGACTAGGCGGATCTTTGTTGCCAGTCTGATGTCTCTACTCTTTACTATTTTATCAAGATTGGACATTGCTCTCCTCCCAAGAAGTAAGCGTCTTCTGATTTCCTGGCCACAGTCTGCATCTGCAGTAATCTTTGCACCTAGAAATACAAAGTCTGTCACGGCCTCCACGGTTTCTCCCTCTATTTTCCAGTTGTCAATCATTCTTGTTGTCATAGGCAGTGGTTTATGTATCTATTTATTTACTAGCCGTCCCAGTTGTCAATCATTCTTGTTGCCATGATCTTGGTTTTTTTTGACGTTTAGCTGCAACCCGGCTTTTGCGCTTTCTTCTTTCACCTTGATTAGAAGGCTCCTCAGCTCCTCCTCGCTTTCGGCCATCAGAGTGGTGTCATCTGCATATCTGAGGTTGTTAATGTTTCTTCCAGCAATTTTCACCCCAGCTTTGCATTCATCAAGCCCGCACACCTCGCATGATGTGTTCTGCATACAAGTTAAAAAGGTTGGGTGAGAGTATGCAGCCTTGCCGTACGCCTTTCCCAATCTTGAACCAGTCTGTTGTTCCGTGGTCAGTTCTGACTGTTGCTACTTGGTCCTTGTACAGATTCCTCAGGAGAGAGACAAGGTGGCTGGGTATGCCCATCCCACCAAGAACTTGCCACAATTTATTATGAACCACACAGTCAAAGGCTTTAGAATAGTCAATGAAGCAGAAGTAGATGTTTTTCTGAAACTCCCTGCCTTTCTCCATTATCCAGCGGATATTGGCAATCTGGTCTCTCGTTCCTCTGCCTTTTCTAAACCCAGCTTGAACATCTGGCAACTCTCGCTCCATGTATTGCTGGAGTCTTCCTTGCAGGATGTTGAGCATTACCTTACTGGCATGAGAAATAAGGGCCACTGTACGGAAGTTGGAGCAGTCTTTCGCATTTCCCTTTTTTGGTATGGGGATATAAGTTGATTTTTTCCAGTCTCTATTCAGGCATTGCACCCCCAAATATTCTGGAACCTCACATTTTAAGATAGAAAGGGGCATATTCATATTTCCCACATTAATGCTAAAATACAGACAAGGATACAAAACAAAGGAAACTTACCTTATGTGACAAACCACTTTGTAGAACACTGTTCCTTGCTATTTCACACAAGTCACAAGTGCTCAGTTTCCATACTTGAGCTGCTATAGCATATTCTTCCATCAGTGCTTCCTTGAAAAATATTTTTAAAAATGATTTACTAGCTAAGGAATTTCACATCCACTTCTAAATAAATTTGGTTAAGGCAGTCATATAACACTCATTAACGAGTGAAGAACAAATCCCTGCTGGAAGCTGCACACAACTTTTTTTAACCCCTAAGCATCCCAGCATACCTCCAAATGTAACTGAGATGCCTTTCACATGCACATAGAGGCTATTTTAGAGCAATTACTCATTTTTTTGCTCCATGAGACCCTGTTTGGGGGGGGGGGGCACACAAAAGTGACTGGGTGCTCCAGGCCTCCCATAGACCACACTCCAGTTACCCTTATTTTATAGTGCTAAGCAAGGAACCTATTATATTACTCAATATGGTGTCTGTCAGTTAATTGTTAATTTTTGTATTACCTGAATAGGGAGTGGGTCTCAAAATGGCTCTAGAAAAGTGTTCTTTAAAAGGATTTTAAAAGTGGTACCTTTCATACCAGAAGGCCATTCGGGCTCATGATATTTCTTTGGAAACTTTACATTACTTTGGAGAAGTACATCCTTCTTGTGCACACACCTCTACCTCAATAAAAGAAACGATGTTGCTTGTGCCTTATTAATCCCATGCTATGTGTCCTATGAGGCAGATTTTAAGTCTGTGTACATGTGAAGAGAGATTATTTATACGGGCAAGTGTTCAATGTTTAGGATTTAAACATAGAAATGGATAGGAAGCTACTCTGGCTTGATGGAATGCAATGCTCTGTCACATACACCTTTGTTTTTATTGTATGCATGGCAAAACCGTTTTCTGTGGGTCTGCCAGGTGATGAAAGGAGGTACCATACAGCATGCAGTTGTGTTTCTGACTTAGATGTACAAAGAAGATGTCATTGATGACATCTCCTTCTTGTTCTCAGCTGTATAAACACAGATGGATACAGTCCATGGGGCACAAAATGTTCAGCAACATATATGCTAGAGTTATAGCACAAGAGTTGCTGCTAAGGAGAAATAAGGTTGAACACAGTGAAAGCCATCCACTGCATGGCTATCAGACTCCTCCCAGGAGACTTAAATCAAGGAAAAGCTTCATGAGAACCACCACTCCTCTTAATGTTCCCCTAGCAACAGCAAGAGTATCCCTCTGGCAACCAAACCAGGAAATCTCAAATGGATGGCCCTCCCACGAGGGTCTTCCTCCTGAGGCAAACCAAGAATGGGCAACTTGGAAGCCCCTGAACAAACTCAGAAGTGGAGTGGGCAGATCAAAAGACAACCTGGCGAAATGGCACTACCTGGAAGACACTTCCACCTTATGTGACTGTGGAGCAGAACAAACAACTCCTCAACTGTATGCTTGCCCACAATGCTCTGCCTCATGCACAGAGGAAGAACTGTTTAAAACTACAGACAAGGTGGTGGCTGTTGCCCGTTTTTGGTCTAAAATTATTTAGCCGCTTGTGCTCCCTCTATTTTATCAGTCTTAAACTTATTTATGCAAAGCTTTTGACACTAAATAAATAAATAAATAAACAAATAGCACAAGAAAATATTAGATACCTCCTTCCACAATAGTCTTAAAGAACATAGAGAGATGTAATGGGAGTCTGCATTTGTGCATATCACAAACATACAACATACTCCAGGCATTAAGGATTTTCAAACTCCGTCTGGTTTCAATATGATTGTAGGATTCCATACACTTAGGAGAAAGCTTCATTGGATACAATAGTACTTACTTTTAGGTAAAGATGCATCTGACTGGGATGTTAATTCTGAGTGAAGTGGGGGTGGGGAGTAAAGTTGCAATTTAAATTTTAATCTGAACTCCTCACATTCTTTTGATGCAAATTACCTTTGTATAGTGGAACTGCATAGGATCATCTGTTGAGAGTGAAACAATAAGTCCCTTGTGTAGAAATTCTCGTAATGGGTTTTTTGAATACTCCAGGAACAGGCTGTTGTTGCTCAGAGGGGACATGGCAATGGGGATTTGTGCAAGATAATAAAGATACTGGAGAACTGGACTCTGTACAAAAACAACACAAAGTGCCATTATTCAATGGTGCAGAAAGATAACAGGAAAGGAGAAATTCAGTAACAGGAAATGGAAAGTGCTCAGCTTCAGTCATTGTGACTTGGGAACATTTTAACTCTTTCCTTCAGCCTCCTGCAAAGACTTGGGTGGACTTTTAACATTGATCTAGTGCAAACAAATACATTTTAAAATGAACAAAAGAGATTCAAAACTTAAGAAGTTAAAACAAATAGTTTAGAATTAATTGAAAAGGCAAATAAAGTTACACAGCTGAGAATTTAGCAAAAGCAAATTTCTGTCCCACTAAAATAAAGCAAATGATATCCCCAATTTCTATAACAAAAATTTGGATTGCTATATGTAACAGAATCAATTTTATTGTATGCATGATCTGGGCGACAGAGGAAGAACACAGAACATGGAGGGATGAAGAAAGAGAACCATACTTTGGCTGAAAACTGGGAAACTTCTGTTTGAATGATTGATATATATGTATCATTGTGGAAGCTGTATTTCCTTTAGAAAATCAATCAAATACTCTCACAACAAGAGAACAACTAATGTGTAATTATTACTCTAAATATAATAGCCTGGAAAGCTCCCTGCCAAGGAGGCACAAAGTTTATTTCTTTCAACATAGTCTAAACTAACTGCAACTGTTCCTACCAGAGTTAAACTGGGACATATCTGCCACCCAGTGGACAGTTGTTTTAGACAGGAAGTACAGTCTATCCAAAAATACCTTCTTTGAAATCCTATTAATTTCAGTCCCAGAAAATTGAAAGAAATGAGACATGCAATTGTATGCTATTTTTATTTACTCAGAACCAAGCCCCACTGAACACTTTTGTTAGTCTCAACTAGAGCAGATTTATGGAACCAATGACATTTTAGTTAAGTCTTCACTTGCCCACTTTTTACTGCTTGAGTAAGTCCACTACAGGTGGGACCAGCGATTTAATTTGACTGAATAGGAGGAAGGTAGGATTGAACTCCATCGCGTCAAAAATGTTAAGTCCACTCCTTGTGAGCTGTCCAAAAAACACAACTGCTCACACAGATGTCTCCGTAGACATAAAATGATGGTATGCAGAAAACCATTTCATTAAACCTTTATGGAGAAATGTAAGATGTAAAACTTTGGTTTGCATGTTTTCCACCATACTTGCTGCCATCTTTAAAACACTTTGTCATATTTATTTATTTAGTATATTTATATACTACCTTTCTGACCACTGGGGGGACTCAAGGCTGTTTACAACATAATAATGGCAATAATTCAATGACAACATACATATAATAAGATAAATCACAATAACTAAACACTGACATATAACTATAAATTAAAATAATTAAAACCATTAAACACTGGCATATACAACATGTAAACACTAAGATAAAGCATTAAAAGCATACTAATAAAAATATTTAAATCACATTATTCAAAAATTGTACACCTTGGTCATTCCGATTGTCATAGTATGTATTTCCTGATGATTCATTGATTTGCATTATTAGCCAAAAACCTGGTCCCACAAAATGTCTTTGTTTTCTTCCTGAATGCCAGGAGGGAGGACTCTGATCTAATCTCACTGGGGAGAGAATTCCAGAGCCGAGGAGCCACCACTAAGAAGGCCTTGTCACTCGTCCCCATCAATTTATTTATATTCCACAATAAATCAAAGGCAAAGGGGCTGTACCTTCTTCAAGAGTAATCCATGGGAAATATTGTCTGCAGTGAGAAAGGCTGACACCAGGTGAGTGATTGATCCAGCTTCTCCGCAATGAGGCCGAAACAGAAAAGTGCTCATACCTCTCTCTCTAAAGAATTTGAAATTAAATAACATTAAAAGATTACTCACCTTTTCAATTCAAGGGTAATCATAACAGCTTTCATAATGGAAATTTACAACTGTAGCAAGTGTGTTTCTAACTGAAGGTCAAGTGCAGGTAAAAAGATGACCCACTGACAATGGTTGCTTTAGCAACCGTCTGGGCAAGCAGCTTTGATCCTACACTGAAATCTTAAGCACAAACATAATGCAAAATGGGACTTGTTTGTTGAAATCTAGCTGTTTTTTTAATTTTTTTAGCTGCAGTAATTTGTCCTATTTCCAAACAAGTCACAGGATTTTAAAAACCATCATACTGAAAATTCTTGCAATTTAGCAGAATTCTCATGTTCTCCATAGTGCCTTTCTGCAGCCAGAGGATAAACCCAATGCAAACTGTAATTCAACAGCAACACAAGGCAGGGAAAGGCTGCTTTAGAGTGACTGGAGAAGGATAGAAGCTGGACAAGGAACACTGGATTCAGATAGATTGTCATTCTACAGGGTTGTACATCTATGACACATATGCAACCCTAACTCTAGGAGTAGGCTTTTCAGCCTTCCTGCTAATGGAGGACTGGGAAACCTTCACAGTCCCTATGTGACTTCAACTAGGCGCTACATAGGATCAGTGAATATCCAACAGTTACAGATGCCCAATTCTAGGTTACACATGTGTAACTCCCCAACAGATTCCATCCCAATGTTCTGGATACCATTTCCTACTTTTTGGAGTGGGCTTACTCACTGTAAATAACTTTAGGAAGAGAATCAGAAATGAGGGGGAGAAATAAATTATTTTAAAAGAATATCAAATATACTGATAATATTTTTTGGATTAAACCACATGTTGAGCCCAATATTACACCCTTCTATGACTAAGTACAGATACAAAGAACACTACTTACTTTCTAAGATTGTTGAGAACCATGATGTTTGCATACATGTAATACAAGTAATAACTATACGGAGGGTTCTTTTCACTAGTCCAAACATCAGGATTGGGGCTCTTCTCAGTGAACATGTGGTCACTGTGCTTAGATTCATCATCCACACTATCAAACCCTGTAACCTAGAAATTAAACCAAAACAGATTTGAATAAGAATCAGCTTCAGCATGAATAACAACAACAACAACAACAACAACCACCGTTTTATTTCTTACCCATCTCTCCTCAAGGTGGGTCACAGCACAGTCAAAACACACAAACATTGCAAAATAAAATGTCTATAAACATACATATTATCAATATGTTGATGACACCCAAATATATTTCTCCATGCCTTCAAAAACAGCCTCAGCTAAGGATAGTGTGTCTCCTCTGAATGAATGCCTGGAGGAGGTAATGGGCTGGATGAGGAAAAACAAATTGAAACTGAATTCAGACTAAACAGCGGTGTTTGCCATCAGGGTCCTAATCTGGGGGTGGAGGTGTGTCAACCAATTCTGGATGGGATTACACTCCCCCTGAAAGACTGTGTTTGCAGCTTGGGAGTGCTCCTGGATTCATCTCTCCAAATGTCAGCTCAGGTAGATATGATGGCCAAGAGTGCTTACTACCAGCTTCGGCTGATACACCAGCTGACTCTAAGGGACCTTTACAGACCTTGCAAGTCCATATCTGAATTTCTTTTTAACTATTTGAAAGTTGAGTTCAAAAGGGTAGCACAGGAAAGACAAGTTTTAAAAACCCAGAAAATCAATTTATGGCTCACCTTCTGTTTAGAAAAGAACTCTAGAGCAACCCAAAGGAACTTAAAACATGGAGAAATTATATCCATGCACCTTAGGAGGTGTAGAGGTATTGTGGGTGGATTAAAGTAATTTGGGGGGGGACGGACGTTAGAAGAGACAAGTCTCTAAAACCACTTTTACTGATTGTCATCTCATACATTCCACTGGAATTTGAGGACTCCATTTGGAACTCAGGGAAAGAAGCTGTAGCAACTCTCACACCTTGCAGATAATAATGATGATGACGATTAATTTATTACCCGCTTCTCCTTCAAGGCGGGATACAACATCATTAAAACAACAGCTAAGGCACTATTAAAAGACATACAACAAAATACATAGAGTTAAAATACAAATTAAAATCTATTGATAAAGTGCTGATTAAAAGTCACAATTTAAAATAGATTGGGTAGGCCTATTGAATGAGATGAATCTTCAATTGTGCCTTCAATTGCAACAGCTGATCTAGCTGTTGTATCTTCCAGCAGGTCGTTCCACAATCTTGGGGCGGCCGATGAAAAGGTCCTCTGGGTGACAGTACCAGTCAGGTTCTGGCAGGCTGGAGTAACTGCCCAGCAGAGAATCTAAGTGTGCAGGGTGGATTGTATGGGAGAAGACAACTCTGTAGGTAACCTGGACCCAAACCATGTAGGGCTTTAAACATCAAAACCAACATTTTATATGTTGCCCAGAAACTAATTGGCAACTAGTGGATTAAAGCCATAATTTTAGCCCCCAAACCTGCCCCTAGTTGATACATGTGGCTGACTTGTACATGAGTACATACAGTAATTAGCATAGCATGGATTTACTGATTTGACATCATTCATTCTTTTTTTATTCAAAGGGAAGTTTAATACTTTGGTGTCCTTATCATTAGAGACCCTTCTTAATCCTATTCCTTCATCAGGCATTGCCCAAACCATAATTTCAGTTTAATTATCAGAAACATTTTGAAAATGGGAGGGTGGAGTACAACAAAATGAAAGTTAAAATTCTTGGGATTAAGATTCAACTCAATGCCAATTTTCAGACCTGCAATGTGACACCAGTACATGTACTTTTTGATACTGCCCATCCACATACTTACATATTTGAGGAAGAGATGAAGCTCTTTATGATCCAAGGGGTTGATCGTTGCCTCAAACAAGGGTAAGAAGATATTTTCCAGCATTTTTCCAAAACTAGGCAGAAGGTTTTTTGACCTAAATATATCACTGAAATAAACATATCTATATTTAATTTATGTTCTCTGACTTAATTAGTGCAGGGAATTCCCACCCACAGGTATTCTACAGAACCTGATTATGTCCCACAATCCTCACCAATTTCTGCACAGCTACAGAGCCAAGTACACAAACATCTGCGCAGGCCATTTTTGCATGCCTGGCATGTGATTCTCCAGTGGACTTCACATGTGCCATATTTGCAGGAGCAACTGAATGTAGCGTGAATTGCGTGAACATGTCAACAGCTCTCTAGGAGAGCTTTCCAGTGAGATTCATGGCTGAACAAAGATTTGAAATTGTTCTCATATCTAAGCCCCGGTGTTAGTCACTTTATACAATTACTACTTCTGTTAAAACTAAATTAGTTTTGTCTCTCTGTGGACATAATAAGGAAAGCATATTATAAAGCAATAATTGTATTTTATGACTCAGCCTTGGAAACCTAGATAAGACTTCAGAATTATAAGTGAGTTCAGGCTTCCGCTGAGATCTACTGTACCCAAACTTTGTAGGTTTAAGGATAAGTTCAACATATATTCCTGGGACATGTTTCCCAGATTTTGGCTATGCGTTTTTTCTATTTTTCTATTTGCTTACTGTAAGGAAGAACAAGCAAGATAAAAAAATAAAATTTAACAAACCAATAAAAATCTAAAAGAGTGCCAGCATGGTGTAACAGTTTAAGTATTGGACTATGACTCTGGAGACCAGGGTTTAATTCCTCATTCACCTATGGAAACCCATTGAGTGATCTTGGATTAATGACACACTCTCAGCCTTAGAAAACCCTGCAATAGGGTCACCTTAGGGTCACCATATGTCAGAAATGACTTGAAGGCACATAACAACAAATGACATAATAGGATCTCATTCTCAGTGTAACTTATTAGTAATATGGGACAATAAAACATTATTATTTACTATGAGATGGAGAGAGAGAGAGACAGAAGGACGTCCTGAGGTTGATCTAGTAACAACTTCCTCAGTCAAGTGACAGCTCAAGACTGTCCCAGAACCTATGAGAGTGGCCTATATAAACTTTACCTCAAATCTAATAGCAAGAGGTCTCTTGCAAGATCTCAAGGGATCTGCAGACCTAGAAGACTCTTTTGATGGTAGGTCAGAAGTCATGAGCTTAGGAATTAAACACTGGCTCAGCATGGAGAAGCAAACTTTGGACATTGACCATGCTCACAACAACCAGTTTGCCTACACTAAAAAAAAGTCTGGAGGTCCAATTGTTGTGAGCATGGCTGGTGCCCTCACTTCCCCTCGCATCAAACTACAGGATCTCTTCATTGCCTCAATATATAAAAAGGTTTTCTGTCTCCAAATAAATAAACAATATTTTCTACAAAAGAACCTGATCTCAATCTGTTTCTTCAACATAGTTTTAGAGGGCTGAAGTAGACTATTTCATCCACTTCCAATACTTTGCTATACAATCAGGAGAAGAAATAAATCAATTTCATAATTGCTTCAAAAGATTCCTCATTTTCTATAGTGTGTTATTTGTTTAATAAATTGTAGCTGTCTAAACAAACTGGAAATGCAATGTAAAGATGAAGCTCCTTTGTTTAGCATTTGATTAGCTTATTTTAAATCTCAATTCTTGGTTTGCACATAATGACAAGGCACAAATACACTAAAATGAATCTTGATGGTGTTTTATTCCTTTTCTCATTTGTGCTTGAGATGGTGAAGGAAACGGGATTCTTCATGGATACTTCATGGGAGCACATAACTAGCCCTGCATGTACGTACTTCTACAATGTAGTTTATTGTTACATGCAGACTCACAAAGTGTTTACCCAAGACAAAGGACTCTGTCTGCAATTCAGTCCTGAAATGTCTCCTTTTGACAGTTTCAATTTGAGTGACTAATGCAACAGTCATCATGCTTTTTTGCATTACGCTGAATAGGAAAATTAATGGTAACAACCTGATTCCAGGGAGAAATGTGATTCATGGGAACTTGTAGTGCTTTCCAGGCTTACTTTTCAGCTCTCCAAAGACAATGCACACATACCATAGTCTCAAACAAATAAACATTGCTGAAAACATTAGCTACAGATTTACAGACGAAAGTAATTATAGCTGATACTGCATCCTTCATCTTCCCACTCTCCAATACTATAAGCATAATACTGTACATGTCTACTCAGAAGTAAACCTCAGTGAGATCTTCTAGGTAAGAATAAGGAAAACTTGCATAGAAAGTATTTCCATTTTCTGATTTTTATAGTAATTTTATGAGCTTTTAAAAATGTTATAAAGTGCACAGAGGTCCTGGAATTTTACCACTCTGAGGGACTCTCAGGAAAGGCATTATTTTTCCAGTTATACAACTTCAGGGAATTTGAGGAATCAAGGAAAAAACATTTCAGGTCTCAAAGATGGTCCCACAGCCACATTTTGCACACCTCTAGAATAGAAGTCCAAGGATAACATATTGCTCTGGCAATGTTTTACTGATTTTTTTTCCGTGTCAGGAGCAACTTGAGAAACTGTGTGAGAGAATTGGCCATCTGCAAGGATGTTGCCCAAGGGGTCACCCAGATGTTTTACCATCCTGTGGGAGGCTTCTCTCATGTCCCCACATGAGAAGCTGGAACTGACAGGCGGGAGCTCACCCCACTCTCCAGATTTGAACCCCAGTCAGCAGTCCTGCTGGCACAAGGGTTTAACCCATTGTACTACCAGGGGCGAAGAATAATACTACTGGAATAACACTCAAGAAAGTATGTTTAAGGATGGATAAATACTTAAAAAAACCTGAATACTCTAAAAGCACCAGATCCTGTCTGATCTTGGAAGCTAAGCAACATCAGCCCCAGTGTGGACTTGGATGGGAGATCATGAAGGAAACCATGAAGGAACGTGAGATGCTGTAAGATATATCTCAGAGGAAGGCAATGGAAACCAATTCTGAGTATTCCTTGCATGCTGCTTCTCTCTCTCTCAAAAAAGGTTTCTCTGATGGCAACATTTTGTGGGATCGTTTTGAGTACCACAATCTCAAAACATATGAGACATTCATATCAGTTTCCACCACAATTGTGTTTTTAGGACTGTTGAAGGTTTCACTTTTTAAAACTTAGATGCAAAACTCACACTAAGAACTCACACTAAACTCACACTTTTGTTTGGTATTGAGTCAAGAATGAGCTTTGAAAAGGTGATTTATTCCATTCATTTAAAAATAGGTGCTTCGCTTGTAAATTATGTCAGCACATATGTATTTCTGTTTTTTTCTGCAAGTGCTGACCAAAGATAAGAGGTTCAGAAAAGGCTGTGACATGTAAGGGCGTCATCATAAAGTGTGATCACTCTGCCTCATGCGCTTACTTTAGAACTGATAGGAGACAGAAAAGGTCACCCCCATTTAAAGTGATTTACCATTTTGCTTTAAGAATACCTACAGTATTTACAAGCTAGTCAGCGTATTTTACCACCACACTACATCCTGTCTGTTTTTAGAACCTAAACAGCATTGAGGATGGTTTGTACTTGGATGAAAAACCACCAGAAAACAATAAAGATCTCCAGGCAGAGCTAAAAAAGAATTGGTGCTGTTCCATTATCCAGGCAGAGGCTACAAGGGGACACTAGACAGAGAAGAATAGTCCACTTTACGGGGGAAAGGGGGTTGAAGGGGTTAAACAGTTTCCCCATTTTTCTGTTATTCCTCCCACCCATGTTGCCATCGTTGAAACAACCATAGTTTATTATACAGGAAAAGGGGGGGGGGGGAATAACCAGCAGAAATGGGGGAAATTGTTTTTCTCCTTCAACCCCCTCCATTAAATCTAGGCCATCTTTTGGAGTCTGCTAGAATCTCGGGGGGGGGGGGGGGGGGGGGGGGGGAGGGGGCAAGCACTACCAGTCAGAGTTGACAGTGTACCAGATAGACCTGTGACCAAAACCAGCTTTCAATGTTCCTAGGGCCCTACATAGTACCTCACCATCTCATTCAGTATTTCCCTGCTGCACTTTGATATTCCCTGAAGCAATATTGGGTTAACTCAGGTGTCTGGTTTAACTCAGGGGAAAACGTGGCCAGTTGAGTAACCATAGCCTTAAGGGCCATGAAAAAAAGATCTCTCCTCTCTGTTTCAAGGAGGATAATATGATAGCTGTCATGGTGAAAGACTGCTGGCTTCATAACAGCTGCAGGACAGAAAATGAGGTCAAACTCCCTCATTATTTTTGCTTTTCGGGCACATGTAAAGCAGAACCACTCTTGTTAATACTTAAGCATACCTAGACAGAAAGATAAGTGGAGAAAAGGAAATAAAATCTTGTATACATGGCATATATTTTATTTTGCTTTACTTACTAGATTCTAGGGACTTGAATCATCCAGCGCATATGAGGTGAATAAACTTTGTGTCTAATGAACCATTTAGCCAAATTCTGCCATTCATCTGGAGAACGTCCATAAATAGACAGCCGGGGTTCTGTGTACTGGTATTTACTCTCTTCTAGGTCCCGGGCAACTTCCTATTCAAAATAAACAACACACAGTTCATCACAAAGGCTTATACTCAGACCTTAATATGGCAATATGTCCACTGATGTGCATGCTTTGAAGTGTAAGCAAAGCATGTTTGTACTGCATTTTCGACCTGTGACATTATAGATATATTTGGGACTTTTTTCTTGATTCTTCTCAATGAAAGTTCCCATCACTATGCATTTTTGGAGAGAAAAAGAGGGTATAAATAATTATAATCATAACAACAACAACACTGAGGTCATGAAAAGTTTCATAGTTGGAATCCCTACTTGTCATCCAACACTAGATAGTTTGGGAATGTGAGCAACAGTATTTCTTGCCAGCAAGTTTGGCATGCAAGATAAGCAAAAATAAGAGGATTTTCTTATTTTGAAAAAGACACAAAAAGAAAGGAATTTAATTAACGTACTCCTGTTTTTATCCCTCAAAACAGCAGAAAACAGCAGAAAGTCCATTTGTCTATTACTGCACAAAAAAAGGATGAGGAATCTCCAGTCAAAGCTCGATTAGGTCTGGCCCTGCTCTTTGCCCTTTTGTTGAAATGCATACACAAAGAGATACAAACTTGAATTTAACTTCCATTTCCTCATACCTGCCCTAAAGGCACCAGATCATGTTTGATCTTGAAAGCTAAGCAGTGTCAGGCCTGGTTAGGCTATACGTTACACTTTAGAGGAAGGGACCAGCAAAAGTACCAGTGCTGCATCCAATATACATCTACAGATCTGAACCACATAGATTCTACTTTAACATCCAATAATCTATATGAAACCAAAGCCAGCCCACTTTGTTTTACAACATATATTGTTTTCCAATGGTACCTATGCCAACCCCTCACTTATTAAAAGCTCCCTTGCAAGGGTCAAAACTGATGGTCTGGATGTGTGAATGAAATTACTGGCAGTCCCCAGGTTATAAACATCTGACTTACAAATGATTCATAGTTATGAATGGAGCTGTAAGAAAAAATCTACCTCTAGGAAGATAAATTCACTCCTGAAAGAGTTATCTTGAGGGGAAAGGTGTCTCCACTGAAGCTTTCTCACCAATCCTTGTTTCCACAACAAGCCAATTTTTTCTAAATCCAAATATTGCAGGGACAGAAAATGAGGTGAAATCTTCTAAACTGGGGTGCAGACAACAAATCAAACACCACAAGGGTATTAAACCTTTTCCTACGCTATTCAAAGTTTTAAAAATACGTATTTTTGGCTGGAGTTTCACTTTAAAAATGTACCTGTTCCAACTTACATACAAATTCAACTTAAGAACAAACCTACATACCTCTCTTGTTTCTAACTAGGGGACTGTGTGTAACTGCAATTAATATCACATCTTGTTAGGCCACCAGCTGAGGCAGTGTGTTGAATCCTGTCTATCACTTTTGCTCATTGTCACTTAAAACTGACACTGAAATTGAAACTAATTTGCATAATGCAGATTTTCTGGCACACAATTTCAAAGACAAAAAGACAATAAGCATTCTAAATGGAATATAAATCGGCTTAATTTCCAAGTCATGGATTAAGAAGATCACATTAAATTAAACTTCTAAACAAGAGAGGGGATGAAATTGATTATACACTGTTTTCTCTTGTATTTGGCTTGCAGTTAGTATCAGAACAATGCAAAGTACTACTGACTGGATAATTTTAACATCCAATTTATATTCCTTTGTTCCTGCTTAATTGTAATAGCATTTATATATATATATATATATATATATATATATATATATATATATATATAATTTATATTCATGTCATTAAAGATCAGCCAAGTATTTTGATCCTATAATCTTTGTGAATTTTTATTTTGTGCACTCTAAAAAAGCATGAACACTAGAAATAGTTTTGCCAGATAATTTTTCTTTACCTATGATTCATGAAATGCCATGAATCTACCAGAAACTGGAAACATTATCTTTGTGAACTAAAACTAGCAGATCTGAAGCAAACAAGATACAAACCACAAAGGAAACCAAGCCTCCAGTTGTTATTAGACAGGCTCAAGGTTGTAAGAGATTATAAATACAGGAAAGCGAAAGCATTCTAGAGACAAGGTGGTTGAAGAAACATGCCAAACAAGACTCAGAAAATAGGAATGGAAATGCAGAATACAAACGATAGTCAAGGAACTAAAGTTATTTTGCAAACTGAAGACTGTTCCACCCAGCCATCTTTTGAGACAAAGCATGAGAAAGGTTGAAGCTCAGTGATAGAAAAGGTATCTTGTATGAAAAAGATTCCAGGTTTGGTGGCAACTCCAACCAGAATGAAAAGGACTCTTGCCTAAAGCCCTGGAAAGCCACTGTCAGTCAAGGTTGACAATATTCAACAAGATGAACCAATGTTCTGACTCTCTATAAGGCAGCCACCCATTTTTCTAAAGAATATGTCAATGCATCACAAATTTAAAATTATAAGTTATATATGTAAAAAAAATGCTGTATCTCTCAAAGTATTCCAGTGTAGAGACTAAAAAGTACATGATCTGTAAAAAGAGCATTGTCCAACGTGGCCATCTCAGACCATGCCCAAGTTGTACAAATGCTGTTTTCCAAACACAATACTTCATGCTCTGTACAAGAGTCCACATAGTTGGAGTCTTCATGGCTCTTTTGCATATCTTGCCAATAACAATGGCCATTTCATAAATAATCATTATTATTAATAATAATAATTTTAATAATAATAATAATAATAATAATAATAATAATAATAATAATAATCTAGATGACATTAAAACAATAAGTGACAGAAAGACTGCTTACCTTCACCATACGAGCAAAGTATTCACCACCAAGATGATTCTCTGTTTTCAAATACAAGTCTCTCAGCTCACTTGCACCAACTGGATTGTATTTGGAGTTAAATTTATCAAATCGATGAAATGTCTGGCGATCCTGAAAAGTAGAAGTTTTTTTTTTCAACCATAGAAATTAAGCACCAGCTTTTCATTACTAATATACTGTTAAGTCATAACATTATGTTTGGCTATAACTTATTTGAGATCCAGCATGGTGTAGTGGCTTGATTGCTGGATTACATAGAGACGAGGTTCAAATGTTCCCTCAGCCATCCAAACCAGTGGGGTGACCATGGGCAAGTTACATTTCCTCAATCTTCAATTAATCAAGGCAATGGTAACCCCCACTTTCAACAAATCTTGCCAAGAAAACCCAGTGATAGTGTTGCCATAAGTCAGAAATGCCTTGAAGGCACACAACAGCTGTTAGCAAAATATGAACATATTACATCAGTTTACAAAAGGGGCAAAGGAATATTTTCCACATGCACACTTAGTGAAATTCTGTCTTCAAACATTGATCATTCATTTCCTGATCTTCATTTCCAGTGTGATCTACTGATTACTTACTGCATGAACATCTAATGAATCTACGGTGAGGTCATAGGGATCCATGTGGAGACATTCAAACACCTGTTTCAAAGTCATCTTCTTGCCTTTTTTCTCGCCAACTATTCTGTTGGGCTCCGTTTGATAAGTGTGTTTAATGAACCTCAGCAAATGTTTCTGATTCATGCAGGCAGCAGCATGGATATGAGTATCAACCTGAAATCACAAATAACATTAACCTTAATCAGCAGACACCAAGCATTTATATGTTACTTTATCCCTCTGGCACAAAACTTAATTGGAAAGACATGAGGTTCAGCTCTCTCAATGTGTGCTTAAAAAGCAATTCTTCGGCAGCCAGAAGAGTAATAATGTATTCTCTATGTCCCCCTCTGGTCTGGTTGTGGATTTATAGGCTTTAATAATATATTCTTCCCTGTCTCTAGTTTCTGTCTCTCAGAATATCTTAACCGACATTGAAGAGGTTTGTTTCTAACAATGTCTTGTTGAGGATTTGCCCAAAGAACTGTGCTAGTTTCATTTCCTTCTCTGCTTTCATTGCTATCGCATGACATTATGATACTTTACAGAGTAAAAATTATTGTACTTCTTATTTATTTATTTATTTTGTATGCTTATATACCGCAATATCTCAGCCTACAACGGCGACTCATTCTTAGCAAGCTTTAAAGTAGCATTTCTCAACCTGGGGGTCGGGACCCCTGAGGGGGTCGCAAGGGGGGGTCAGAAGGGTCACCAAAGATCATCAGAAAGCACAGTATTTTCTGTTGGTCATAGGGGTTCTGTGTGGGAAGTTTGGCCCAATTTCATTGTTGGTGAGGTTCAGAATGCTCTTTGGTTGTAGGTGAACTATAAATCCTAGCAACTACAACTCCCAAAATCAATCCCCTCCAACCCCACCAGTATTCAAATGTGGGCATATCGGGTATTTGTGCCTAATTTGGTCCAATGAATGAAAATACATCCTGCAGATCAGATATTTACATTATGATTTATAACAGTAGCAAAATTACAGTTATGAAGTAGCAACAGAAATAATTATATGTTTGAGGGTCACCACAACATGAGGAACTGTGTTAAGGCATCAGGGTATGAGGAAGGTTGAGAACTACTGCTTTAAAGTGATTTCTTCGCTTCATCAGGGACTCAGAATTAAAACAAGATTTATATATTTGAAAGATTACAGAGTCGTCCCCTACATATAATAATAACATAAAACTTTATTTTTAACCTGCCTTCTCTCCCCATGGGGACTCAGGGCAGCCAAAGTAAAAATGGCAAACATTTCATGCCAGTGCAATACATAATAAACAATTAGACAAACAATTAAAAATAAACAGATTAAACACCATTGACTAAAACATATGAATCAATCAAAAACATCATATAAAACAAATTAACGCAGTTAAAATGTGTATAAAAATATAGATCTTCCATAAATTAGAATGCACCCAATCACCTACTATTTTAGTATTGCTGTGACAAGGAACACATGGCATCCCTATAATGATGAAAGACATAGATGTGTGGAATCGCCTCTCTTTGCTTGGAGAAGAACCATAAGATACAACGGTATGTACAAACCAAGCAATATTGGAGATCAGACTCTTACTTTATAAAGTATACCCTAAATGGCAGGCAGAGATATACTCAGGTATAAGCCTAGTTTTTCAGCCCCTTTTTTAGACTGTAAATGTCCCCCTCAGCTTATACTCGAGTCAAGGTTATTTATTACTTTACTCTGTTGTTGTTGTTGTTACATTTATTATTTTACTTTATTGTTGTTATTACATTTATTATTTTACTCTATTATTATTACATTTATTATTTTACTCTATTATTACTGTTATTATTACATTTCCATTATGTTACGCTATTATTATTATTAGTAGTAGTAGTAGTAGTAGTAGTAGTACATTTATTATTTTACTCTTTTTATTATTATTGGAAGAAAATGTAAGCACATTTACACTGAAGGTTAGAATAATGGTTTAATCAGTTGGACAGTCTTATTGTAAATTAGTTTTATGTAGATATTAAAAAAATTAACCTACTGATGCCTTAATTAATGTAATTGTATTGATATCTATTTTTATTTTAAAATTTACCAGTAGCTGCTGTATTTCCCACCCTCAGGTTATACTCAAGTTTTTTTTGTTTCATTTTTGTTTTTTGTGGTAAAATTAGGTGCCTCGGTTTATATTCGGGTCGACTTATACTTAAGTATATACGGTATATGGTTAAAACATGATCAGTAAAATCATACACAGGGAACAATTTATCGCAGTATTATGATATGAATATAAACAGATTGCATGATACTCGTAACTACATATAAAATGACCCTGTGCAGTGAATCATCAAGGCTGATGGGTTTCTATTTAAGTCTTCCTGCTCTCTTTCTCGCTGCAGCTCCAGCCAAAGTACACTTGGCTCCATACATGATGCAAATGTTATACAAAGCACATGAGTGGTATGTCATTGTTTTTTAAGACACAGTGACTCGACAATTCACTTGGGAATTTCAATGCTGAGCACTCTAAAAATCAGACAAACATAACCAGCTCTATACAGGCATGTAGCCGGGGGGGGGGGGGGCTTGAGGGGCTTCAGCCCCCCCCCCGAAATTCTAATGGTGGTTCGCGAAAAGGCCTTACTGGTGCATTATTTAAACTGTTATGTTTATTCATATCATGATCTGATCACCATACTCAATATATCCCATATGCATGGGGGTATTGGGGTAATGATACAAAAGGTTTGCTAGGCTAGACCCTCTTTCACTCAGACTCAGCCCCCCCAAAAAACTCAGCCCCCCCGAAACCCCCCCTGAAAAAAATTCAGCCCCCCCCCCCCCCGAAATGAAATCCTGGCTACGGGCCTGGCTCTATAGAAATATGGTAGAATAGTCTTTCGCAGATATTTTTAAATGGATGCTTCCATTACACAATGGAGCCATTTTTATAAAAGCAATTTCTGTTTCATTCCACAACAGTGTGTGTTAGCAACCTAGTTTTTCTGCCAAAAATGCTTCTGTCTGATCTGAGCTTAGGAGGTTTATACTCAAACAAGCATATCTTAAAAAAAAAAAAGGAAAAGGAAAAGGGAAAATTATAATCCAGCCAATTACTTGAAAAGTTCAGTTATTTTCTCCAGTGAATATTCAGAATATTTTACTACCTCCCTGGGCGTGTACTCAACGAAATACTATTCCAGGCAGAACAACAAATTAATCTAATGATTACAATGGCCTGTCAATCTTATCTATATGTCACAATGGCCTCCTGGTATTAAAACTAGATGTTGAAGCTCCTGAGGTTTTCAGAAGATAATAAATGTCATGAAGCCGATTAGTGTTCCACAGCAGACAATTCATTAGTGTGCACTTATTATGCATTGTCACAATTTAAAACCTGAAGGCGAGAAAACGAATTTGCAAATCAGTTCCTCCAGAAGCTCAGACGCTGAGAAAGCCGTCAGAGCTGTAATGTGTGTTTTCACAACAGCCTCTGCTCTTGCCATCTGGGCAAGTTCGTAAGACATGAATGGAGAAAAACTGTGAGAGCATGAAAATAACGCCTCCTCAACATTGGCTATTTTTGGAGATGAAGCTGCAATTTACACTACCCATACAAGTCAACAGAAGTACTGCTTGTCGTCATTGACAGAATACAGCCAAAGCACTACAAATGGCCAATTTGCTTCCTTTGCATATATTTGCTGTTCTGATGAAACTCCAGTATTAACTGCAGCTCTACAAACTGGTTCCTTCCTAAATGCCTGGTGGGGAGGAGTTGTCAGAGTCAAGGGAAAACGGTAAAGGTGGCCTGGAAAGTTACATGTGCTGCAAATATTAAGAGCTAAGGGGCCTGCTCTGAAATGATGTTTATATGTGGGAAGTACAATATATAAGGATTTCATATCTCTGGCCACAGAAAGGTTTGGGCTTCTAGCAGGTGCAGGACATTTAAAAATGTATACAAACTTTTGGCAATTCAGGAGTCACTAAGGATGGGGATTATTACAAAATTATCTTAAAATTATATTTTCCCCTGTGCTTTTAATTTAATTATTTTAATAATTGATGTTATATGGTTTATGAACTAACTAAATATTCTTTGGCTTATTTCAAAGTTAATTTCTTTCAGATACTACTTGAGTAATCCAGAAATGCATTGCCCGATTTACCGGGCAAGGCCAGTTGCAGCGGAGGGCGCCGCCCTGCCAGCCATGATGGAGGCATGGCGGGAAGTTTCCCACCACTTGGCCTTCTGGCCAACCAGCAGCCGGCCCTGCCCTACCCGCGGATTGGCCAGGGCCGGCCTCCGCCTTCGCCCAGCAGCTCTTAAAGGGCTGCCCTGAGTACCCAGCAGGCAGCGGGCTGCTTCTACTTGCCTCCCATCCACCCTGCATGCATGTTTTGTGTTTTGATTTGGCTACCATTAGTTATGTTATTGTTAGCTCATCACAACTTAGTTGGTGTGTGGCATGGGCCCTGGATCTGGTATCCTTCACCCACCCCCCTATCGGAAGGGGGGGAACACACAGTGTTTCCCAGGGTGCTGAGTATCTTAGCCTGGTATTATGCTGGTGGCACCCGGACGTGTTTAGCAGTATCGGTCAGCAGCGGGCTGATCAATCTCAATCCAGAACCCATGCTTGGCAGCCAACCCTGTGTTCCTGTAATCAATAAACAAGTTGTGACCATTTTCCTCCCAACTTGGTGTTTGTGTCATATTTGGCCTGTCAGCAGGAGGAGTGTTGCCCATCCACACGCAAAACTCTCTCAAAGTGTTTTAATATTCTTCTCTGTACCCTCCAGCAAAATTGCCGCAGAAAAATGCAAAGTCAGTGCCACAGACATTTCTGGTTTGTATCTAGAATGCGAAGACAGAAAGGCTTCTTCCAACTATGCAAGGCTTCCAAGTAAGCAGAAAAAGACATCAGTTCCATTGACTGCCATAAATCCCTGCCCCAATTTTACTCCTAAGTATTGAGGAGCCTTCCAGCACTGTTGAGGTACAGCAGTGGAAAGTGGAAATTGTCTCCCACCAACTCTCCAGACGAAGGAGATTGCTGAGCTATTCATAGGAAGGAACTGATGACAGGCAGCAACAATACGCCCAACTAGTTGTGTTTAGAAACGTTAAGCCTACACATCCAGACACAGGAAATAAATTACAGAAGAGGATAAT